TTTGACTCTCTTAAGTTAGCATATTATAAAAGTTATGAAATATTATATGGAATGCTCATTTTAATTCTATATGTAATATTTTACATATGTATAGAGCAACTATTTTAATAGTTTGAAGATATGTTTGTCATAGGATCTACTCATTTTTAACAAGATAATGCTATATATGCTTTTAAAGTATTGATGGCTTTTATTTTGCTTTCATTTTATATTTAATGAAAGAAATTGTGAGAATTATTAGTAACAAACATTGTTAAGTATTGTAACAAAAATTTCAAGATATATTGAATGATATATGCTTGATATCTATTGTAAAATTATTTATCCAAAAGTTAAGAGATTTGGTGAAGATGTTCTTCTACAAGAATTACTTTTTTTTAAAATAATCAAGCTCTTTATGATATGAATGGTTTTTACTCTAATATAATTTGATCTCATTGACATAAAGATTTTATGATAATTGAGCATTATTAATGTGTTGAGATATTTATTTACTACAATTATCAATTGAAAAATTAAAAAGCAAATTCAATAAGCAAATAATATAGCTTATTATATTGAATAAAACTTTAAATTTTAATGATATATGTAAATCATTTAATGCTCACAGAGATGATAAAATTTTTACCAATTTGATGATAATTCTTATTGAGAAAAAATTGCTAAAATATTTATTGTAGACATAATAACTAATAATTTTTATACCGTGAAAAATTGATAAGCAAAACTTAATATATATATATATATATATATTTATACATGTGTAAAATTAAATATAAATATATATGTTAAAATATTTATATTATGTCAATGATATGTGTGTGTGTGTGTGTATAACTTTTTTTAATTATCATATATGTTTTGTTACCTCGGCCCCTCCTTAATAAAAATTCCTGGCTCTGCCTCTGGATGCAATTAGAATAAATGAAAATAAATCATGCTTAAAGCATGAGAGATTAATTGGTCCCTACTAAAAAATCTTTATAAAAGAAGATCATATAATTAAGATAATCATATTAAGGAGGTAGACACTCCAAAAGAGAGTCATGACATAAAAAATTGTAAAATTCTAGAAAAGATTCAGGTACTTGAAAACAATAAATAGATCTAAATAAGATATATCACAAGTAAAAAAAATAAAACTAAAAAGATAAAGTTGTTGACAATAGTTTTAATGATAATATCATGCGATTAGATGGGGATCTTGTATGTGAATTTGTCATGAAAAGTAGACAAAAAGATGAGTGGCCAAACAGTAAAGGCAAAGGAAAATCAGCACTACAAGTATAATTATATTCATTTTCAATATGTGAAAATCATGGACATGCAGTCCAAACCTAAAGTGTAAAGTTACCGCGAGATACATGAACACTTATGTGAAAATAAAGATTTTCATAGAGGTCTAATGAAGATTGACTACATTATCTTATGGTGGATTTTGTATATACCATTAGTCTGGCAGCATATAAAATTGAAATATGATGTGCCTCTATTGAATATTATGTGCCTCTATTGAATATTATTATAGCCTATGGAAATTACTTATTACTATGTAATAAAATTTACATAATAATCTTTGAAGGAGTTCAAATGCCAAAAGCATAGAAAATATCAAAAAAATTATTCAACATATATACATGTGTAAGTTCTTAAGCTTGTATGAATTAAAATAGTTTAAATGTATGTATATATTGTCTTTGTAAATATGTATTGCAAATAGGCTTTGATCAAAATAATTTGAGAATAAAATTTTGATATTTATTTTTCATTCAACTTAAGTATTTAAAATGCAATGGTTATAAAATTATTATACTCTTTTGATCTTATTTATAAATCATTTCTACCAACCTCATCAATATCAATATACAAAAAGTAAAAGGAATAAAAACTTGTAAAATTTCAAACATGTTCCTATATAGCAACTCTAAAAGTGATATCATGTTACGTTTTCTCTCTCATAAAGGGTAATTTTAAAAATACTTTTCAAATGTTATCTAAAAAGTTGCACCATGATTTGTAAATAGGACTAAATAAATCTTTTAAAATGCATCTTATAAATGAGATTAGAGAGAGTACTATGTTTATTTTGTTTGTGATGCTATACTGAATTGATTAGTCTAGATTAGTCCTAAAGTTCTATATATATATTTATGAATATTTATACATCTGCCTAATATTATATAAGATATAGTTTTGTTAACAATTCTGAGAATGAACTAATAGATTTGGAAAAGACATATCATTATATGGGAAAAGTATTTTATCCTGAAGATATATTTTGAAGAGTTATATATAAGAAATTAGTATATTATCCTGAAATACATTAATTTAAAAGTGACTTTGTTATTGGGGGGAGTAAATATGCAATGCATTCTTTTTTCCTTAATCAAGATTTTGTTTCATTAGGTTTTTCTAATAAGATTTTTAATGAGGTAGTATTGGATAGCGTATAAATGAATGATGTTCTCTTTCTTTCTGTTAGGTTTTTGTTTTATTGGATTTTTCCTAGTTGAAATTTTTAATGAGATACATTTTTAAATATTGGACATTCAAGACAAGTGTTATAATTATAAATATAAATATTATGTGTGGATGTTCATTTCCTCATGCCATAATTAATTATAAGAATATTCATCTCCCCTTCACATTACTCAAAGGTTGTGGTTCATGAGATTCTTAAGCTTTATCTTCTCACATAGAGTTCATATCTTCTTTATGATATATTATTTATAATCAATTATTTAAACTTTTGAGTTGTAGGTATTTGTGTGTGTGTGTGTATATATATATAACATCTCATTTGTATTATTGGAAGTATGGAAGAGGATATAAGATTCATCTTCATTTCTATTGCTTTTATTCCTCCTTTCTTTTCATTTATATTATCTCTATTTTTTATTCAAAACATCATTGAAATTTTAATAATATAGGCTACATTTAGAGGCATATAAATAGAATTGCAATTTCTTAGATGGATAATATATAAAGTTATATAATTGTACATTTTGTGGCTTACTAAATAATAATTTAATAAATCATATATACAAACAAAAATATTATTATCATTAAAAAAATATTTTGCTAAATTTTGATTTTTAAATTAAAAAAGGAAAGCAAAAGCTTGATTACAAAATACAACTAAACAGCGTGAAAAAATAAGTCTTTGTCATTCATGACAGCAGAAGCACATTCAGGAAGAATAACATCACAACAAGAGATTAAAAAGGAGTTATAGTAGCATTTCGGACTAACATATCAGCAAATGCGATCTGTTCTCTATGAGAGTGATGAAGCTCAAAGTCAAGGAGAAAGATAAGAGATGATCGAATGTTTTGAATTATTGATCACAATATGTGATCAAGATTGTTGTCTCAAAATATGAGATTCATAGCTTTTAAGGAAGCAATAAACATGCGAACATATGAAAGTTGTTTTTAAAGGCAAATTTAAATACATGCTGCAATTGAGCGAAGTTCAGCTTTAGTACAGCTAAATTTTGATTTAACGAGGTCAACTTGTCATAAATATGTATCAATTAACTTTTGGCCTGCAATAACGTTTTTGGCGCCATATAAAGTAACTTTACTAGTTAGTATATATTAGTCCAAAAAAAACTTTTAATAATAATTCACATATTAATAAAATTCTTATTCTTATAAAAATATATCCTCCCTATTCTTATTATATAGAACCTTTTCTAAATATTTTTTATTTTTTAACATAAGGTATTAATTAATTTTTTCAATATTACTCCTATTTAAATTCATTAATTATCAGAGAAAATGTAATGTAAATTTAAATTTTTTTCAGGTAAGATTAGAAGTTAATCATGTTTTAAGACAAATTTAATAACTTAATTACCTTTAATTTTCTTGATTATGATGAGATAGCTTTTTTTTTTTTTTTTTACCAATGATCTAACGAGATAATTGAAAGTGTCTTATAATATTATTTTTTTCTTTTTACCTTTAGTTTTAATTTATGATGAGTAAGAAAAATATCATAAATTTACATACACAAGAATTCATGTTAATAAATATGAGGGATAAAATAATTTTTTTTATTTTACAAAGATTGAGTTGCTTATACTTTTCTAATTTTATTTATTGGGTGAAAAAAGAATATTTGTTTGGGTCTTATTCATGGGCACCTCAAGGATTATTGTATTTACCTTTTGAGAAAACTTATATACCAAACTTTTTATACACTAGCAAAAAAAAAAAAAACTTATATACTTAATGTGTTTGTATTTAATTAAATCAATATATGTAAATTTTTTATAGATTATTTATTCTATAATAAATTTTTGTTATTGATTAAATTAATATATTATGATTCACATGTCATAATTTGATTGAATATAAATATATTAAGTATATAATGCTAACTACATAAGTCTTTCTCTTTACCTTTACTCTTTTATCCTTATTAGATGTTAAAAAGATTATTAATTTTTAGAGTATTTTATTTTTAAAATATGTACTCTTATGATCCTATTTATAGGGTACTTTATTATTTTTATATTTATTTTACCTTTCTGCCTTTTTAAAATACTAGAAAAAAATATTAAAAGTAATTTTTTTTGTCTTTATTATGGATAGATATGAAAACTTATTAAATTTCAAGACAAAATTAATAATGTCTAACATTTTTTTTGATTCTTATTAAATTTATTAGAAATGACTTATAGATAAGAGTCAAGACAAAGAGTATATTTAATAGAGAAACTATTATAATTTTTTTTAAATTTTAAGATAGAGTTAATAATTTTTTTATTTCTTTAAAAATATTAAAAATAATTTATAAATAAAATTTAAAAAATATTTTGAATTAAGATTAAGGGAGGGAATACTTCATTTTGGACCGGAGACCATATATTAGTCTATCTAATTACATAATTACATGAATTTTAGATTCAGGCAAAAAGAAAGTACATGGAAATATGGATGGATACAAGTTAATTAAAAAGGTTGCCAAAAAATAAATAGAAAAAAGGTTGATTAAGGAACTCAGGAACGAGGAAGAGCGAGGTGGTGACTAACCCAGAAAGGAAGAAAGTTTAGGGTTTGGGCAATTATTCAAATCAAAGTCCAACTCAGTCTTCTCTCCCCAATTTGGGAATCTTGATTTCTCTAATCTTTCGCTATGACGGACGGCTACTGGAATCGGCAGCAGGCTATGCAGCAGGCGATGCAGCCGGCGATGCTTCCCTCTTCTGCCGTGCTCAAACGACCTCGTACTGAATACGGTTCGCTCTCTTTTCCCCATTTGCTTTACTTATTCTACTATTAAATTTTTTCTTGTGATTGGTACGCTTTTCTCATGTATTAATGCTCGCCTTGGGATGTTGATGAGGGTTCCCGGGTTTGTCAGATGCTAATTTTATGTAATCTTCATGTGGAAAGCGGGGTGCCTTGTGTTATGTTTTATTACTAGGTTATGTGTCGATAAAATAAGGTTGGCATAAGGTTTTTGCGTTCTCTGACAATTACTATGAAGTTGATCTGGTGTCGTGCTCGATGCTTAAGCCCAAGGTCGGCACTTTTGGTTAGAAATTATGGTTACACTCTTTATGGGCGGGGATACAGTGATGTCATGTTTGGCATGTGAAAAGATTTTTTTTTTTTTTTTTTCAATTTTATCTCCCATGGTTCGTTTAAGCTAGGACCACGAACTACTTGACCTTTCAAAACTGGGGCTTCATATTAGAGTATCGTAAATGAATAATTTTGTTGCTTTGGTGTGTACTATGAGTTTGATTTGAATATGCAGTCAACAATGGTGGAGTTATAAACTGAACTGGTGGAACAGACAAATAAAATGTATGCTTCTGTTGGCGTGTGAGATCTTCTTGATGAGGCTGACAGTGGGCTTTATTGACTGGTGACATTTTCTTTAGAGATTAGGTTACCTTCCATCTATGTAGGCCAAGTTGATTTTGCTACTATCTCCATGCCTCCATGGGTTTTATTGGTTGATTATAAGGTGACAGACTATTGGATTTTTTCCTTGGGCGTTACTCAATAGAAAATGTTATGTGGAGCTCCAAATGGATGTGGATCTTGTCTCTACCAGTGTTTCAAGTTTATTATTGTCTTGTCTTAAAGAGTTTATTGTTAGTTAGAAGTCTTAGTTATTCTTTATCTTTAGATTTATATTGTAGTTAATCTCTATGTTGATGTCAGCATAGATAATGGGGAGAAGGGCTGGGATAATGAGTGTGAAACTTTTGCCTCTGTGCAAGCCTCCTCATTCATTGTATTTCCATTCTTATCTAAGTTTTGCTGGTCCTTCAACAATTGGCTTGATGCTTGAAGTTAGAAGAAAATTTAGAGAAAGTTTGTTTAGGTATTTAGCAAATTTAGTCAGACAAACTAGGAATGTGGATTTTGGCCTCTGTAGTCAGTGGTGTGCCTAGTGAAATAGTTTATGCTTTTTGAGACCAGTGATTAACTTGTGTTTCCGTGGTTTTTCTGACTTTTGGTTTTGATTTAAGCATAATTCTTACTTCTTAATACTCTGTGCTAGTGCTAGACACTGTTGCACTGTTTGACACTTCAGGAATTGCTCCTTTTTTGGGTGTGCCCTGTGCCACATGTGAAATGCTGTTCATTTTTCTTTGACCCACTTAGTGCACCCTGGCTTGTTCTTGGGAATTGTTCTTTGATGAGTCAACCATTAAGAGGATGGGTTCGTCTCAGTTTTTTGGTGTAGTAGATGTTTGAAGGTAAAGCTCATAATAAGGTCTGTTCTTGGGCCCACTCCTTTCTCATTGACCTGCAGATCGTCAAAGTGGGAGGAAACTTGTGGATGTGACCCTTTAGATATCATTCTTGCATAACTCGTTCACCATGGCGCATGGTATGAGAATGGGATATTTGAATTTATATAATTTGTGACTGTGGCACAGGAGTAGGTTTATTTACTGATGTTTTACTGCATGTCATGCTACTAAATGAGGCAATGATATATTAATTATTATAATTAAACATTAAATAATGTGCTAAAACAAAATACTATAATTAGAAAAGGTAAGCTTCTATTAAATGATAGAATAAAAGGAGAAACATTTGATGTAATGTACTGTAGTAATGTAATTATTACAATTAACATAACATACATAGATTAGAATAATCATTCTAACAAATTCTATGATTCATAATTATTCTAACAAATTTTTCCATTCACCTATTTTTGCTTTTATCTCAAATATGAAAGCTGAAAGTCAAACTTAAATATCTCTCTTGTTCCCTGTATTTCCTCAGTCCTGCAATAGGTTTCCTGTTTGTAGTCTCCCTTTTCAATTTCTTCTACCTCCTTGCTCTTCTGTTCTGCTTCTGCACCTCTTCTTCATTCAGTTGCATGAATCAACTGGTATATTCTCTGCATATTTCTTTTCAACTCTTGCCCTCTTCATCTTATTGGGGATGCCAGCATTCATTCTCTTCCGCTGTTCAGTCCTGGTTCTTTCATTGCACTGTTAGGGCCAGTTTGGTATGAAGCATTGGAAGGGTGGGACCGGGCTTGGCATTGGTTAGTACTAGCTTTTTGTGTTTGGTATGAAGCATTGGGAAGTTTAATCCCAATCCCAATGCCATCTACTTGGGATTACTCAATACCACCACCCCCCTTGGTATTGGGAAATCAATCCTGAGATTGATTTTTTTTAGAACAAATTACCCCCATTCCCATCGACCACCACCTGCTTCTGTTGGTTTGTGGCCTTAGGCTCTGCTACCGTTGCTGTCGCCCGCCTCCCTCTTGTTCTTGTTTCTTTGCTGCTACTTGGCCCTTGCGCACTCCACCACGTAATTCCGGTATTGTTCATCCCACAAATCTCATCTCCTTCTTGGGAACATCTTGAAAAACGTTAAAAATTATAGATTTTGCACCGTATGAACACAGTTCTCTTTGGGTTAGAACCAATTGAACCCAAAACGTGCAAAAATGACAGAAATCGAATGACCGACTTCAGACAAAAGTTCATACCAGAGCATGAATTTGGGCGAAAATTGCAGCAGAAAATGTAGGTAAAACATATCAAAGCAACTAACACAATCAAAAATCCAAATTGTGATGCTATCTTCCCGAATATCTAGAACTCCACGAATCTTTAAGTAGTTGATCATGGAAATTGAATTAGGGTTTGGAAAGAAATCGAACACTATAGAAGAGAAGTGATCGACGTGGGGGAGAGAGAGTGGCAGAATGCTGGTATACTTTGTTTGAGTCCTCTCCCTTCGTCTTCCTCCCTTCTCCCTTCGTCTACCTTCGCTGTCCTCCACCACTATGCATCTAGTCGCTTTCTTGCCTTTGAATTTGCTCGCCTTCAGATTAAATTTAGGGAGGATGAATGATGGGTTTTAGGGAAATTATTTTTTATTAATTATAAGGGGTATAATAGTCGTTTTATAATTTATGTTTAATTATAAAATGAAATGAAGGAAAGTATTCCCTGCAATTATTGCTTCATACCAAACATAATTTTAAAGCCTCAATCCCACTTCCAAACCCAAAGTCAATCCTAATCTCAATCCCAATCCCTTTAAATTCAGGCCTGCATACCAAACAAGGCGATAAGGGGTTTAATAGTCTCTTTATAATTCATGTTTAATTATAAAATAAAATGAAGGAAAGTATTCTCTTTAATTATTACTTCATACCAAACATAATTTTAAAGCCTCAATCCCACTCCCAACCCGATCTCAATTCCAATCCTTTTAAATTCAAGCCTGCATAACAAACAGGGCCTTATGGTTTGTAAATATACCCTGTTTTGGCCTGGGCAAATGGAACTAGGATTCATAGGAAAGAAGGGCAAATTAGTCAATGCTTCTTTACATTACTTATGGACTCTTAAGACTTTGTTTGGTTAGGATGTCTTTGTCAATGCTATGTTATTGTCCTTTGTCCTGGAGTTTACCCAAATTATAGGAGTGCACAAAGTTTAGAGTCGTATAGAAAACCTTTCTAAGCTTTAATAAAAGTGCAGGTATATAGAATATCCATTTGGTTTTCTTTGTCAATGAACCATTAATCTTTGATTGTGGAGTATGACTTCGCTTATGATTTCTCTTCAATTTCAGTTCCTTTTTCTTATGTTCAGTTCTAGCATGAGTTTACCAATTTATGGGGTGATTTAAGTTTTTTTTTAAATGGGAATTGAATTGTTGAAGAATTAGATCCTCATGACTTAGGGTCTGTTTAGTTTTTCTCTGTTTCACGTTCAAAAAGCAAAATTTTACTTTCAGAAAGTTGAAAGTTGTTTGGGTAGAATATTTTGTAGGAAAGCACATTCTGAAAGTACATTCAAACAGTAGCTGAAAGTGAATTTCTGAAACATAACTATTTGAAGCTTTTGAAAAGTGGATTTGAAAAGTAAAATGTTATTTGACCATACTATCTCAAGTTTAATCTCTTATTCTTTTATTTAAAAAATAGTTAATTCATTAAAAATATAATTATTATTTTAATAATAATAATTTGATATAATAAAAATTACAAATCTTTATTACATCTTTTAAAATTACAAATTAAAAAATACAAATAACTAGAGATCAAATTTTTAGCATTATAGATCAAAATTTATGTTATTTAAAATCTTTATTATGTTTTTTAAATATTTTAAATATATTACATTTGTATAATAAAAATTATAAATCATTATGAATCAATGTTTTTTTTTGTAATTGTACATTCAAAAGCACATTTCACTATCACAAACCAAACAACTTTCAATGTATCAAATTGACTTTTGAAAAAATATATCCAAACATAAATTTCGTTACAACAACTGACTTTCACCAAATGAACTTATAACAAACTGAAAACCAAACGTACACTTAGAATTTTTGGCCGAGCCTTTGAGATTGAAAATTATCCGGGTATACTTATTTTGTTTTGGTTTGGTGGTAAACCTGAAGGGGCACAGCATATTTTCCCCATTTTACACATGCCTATTGCAAGACAAAATGTGTTGAATATCACATGTCATTAATGCTTTTAACTTTTAAAGTCTGTACAGTCTTGAATTTAATTTCGTAGGTTTTATTTAGGCATACTTCAAGGAAACAAAGCGCATTTTCCCCATAAAATGATATCCTTTTTGTAACTAGTTTGATTTCCGGTTGTTGGGCTGCTTAGATGGGTTTGGGTTACTTCTTTTCTCATTTTTATGGTCACAGGCATAAGTTTTTCAGCTCTCTTGTGTATTTAATCATTTATTAAGAATTTCAGTGTTTTTTTTTTTTTTCGGTTGGTATTTGCATGCTTCATAATCACTGCGGCATTTGGTCAATGGGGTGGATTGGACATTTGGATTGTTCAAGAGTTTACAATAATGTTCATGATTGACGTTTAGGCATTTGCATTTGCCTTATTTTATAGGTTATTCTCCTTTTCTTTTCATGTCATTCGAAGTTTCTGATTATTTTTGCTGGCTAAAAGCCTAAAACAAGTTTCTTTGTTATGTTTAATTAATATTTTGGATCTTTGATAATTTTAGTTTCAGTGGTGAGTTTGAAATCTTAGGAAAATGCATCTTAGTTTTGCTTGTACCTGCTACCTAGCATATTTGCTTCATCAAGTCTTAGGTTTAATTGTTAGCTTCGTCAGAGTGGATAAATGACATTGCATTTTTTTTGGAGAGTTCTATCTAAATGTATGGTTTTGGTCTTAGTTAACTGCTGCATTTTACAAAGAAATGAGTTGGAAGACTAAGAACGTACTTTTCCCCTTCAGAGATGCCAACCTCTGGTCTGGCTTCAGGTAATGAGATGCAAGCTTATGTTGCTCGAGATGATGATCGTACTGGTTCTCAGGGTATAAAAGACACAAAAACAATCTTGTCGGCTTATGACCACTACCTTCAGAGTGCGGTAAAGTTTTGAGCTCTTATGTTTGCATAATATGTACTCCCCCATGATTTTACTTACTACTTTTTCTGAAAAGATTTATCCTGTTTGGTTTTGAAGCAACTGCCTTCTTATAATTCTGGAGAAGCCAGTACAATAGGCAGTGTTGGTATGGTGAGGCCTGCCGTCAGTGGAATGCCTGGTCATTCACTAGCTGATCCTGCTGTCATGAGACGCCCTGGGAGTGGTGGCCATGATCTTGCACCAAATGGACGAAATGTCAATTTTGGTGGTCAGCTACCAGTGGACACTGTTCCAAGGCCTGGACCTGAGACAGTACCTCTACCACCAGATGCTTCAAGTACTCTATATGTTGAGGGTCTCCCTCCTGACAGCAGCACTAGAAGAGAAGTGGCTCGTATCCTCTTTTTTTTTTTTTTTTTGGGAGACACTGTTCAGAGACAGTATTATTTTGTCTTCGTCTCTTCCCCTTAAACCTAATTCGTTTCAATTCAGTTATTCACTCTCCTTAATATCACCTTTAGATATCTTCCGCCCTTTTGTTGGTTACAGAGAAGTAAGGCTTGTTACTAAAGAGTCCAAAACTGTAAGTGGACTCTGCTCGGCCTCTTTGGGCATTGGTTGTAGCTGTTGTACAAATTCACTGGCAGTTCTAAAATCTTCGTTTTAAAATGCTTGTTTCACAGCGTAGCGGAGAACCTCTTATCCTTTGTTTTGTGGATTTTGCAAACCCAGCTTGCGCAGCAACTGCTTTGAGTGCCTTGCAAGGTATGAGGAGAAAATGGGCTATTCTTAATGAAGATTTTCAGATTATATTCTCAGCACTCAATGATTTTCTTCACATAAAGACTTGCTAATAGTGATGGCAGTTTGCTGACATTTTGTTGCGTGGCACAGGTTATAAAGTTGATGAACTCAACACTGAGTCCAGTCACTTGCGCCTTCAGTTTTCCCGGTTTCCTGGACCAAGAACTGGACCTGGATCTCGAGGTAAGAGGTAAACAAGATTGCCTAGGGAACCTGATTCAATGCGCATCGCGGGGACCCTCTTTATACATCTTTTCTGGGTGAGCATTTTCATGGATCAAAGATGCTTCTCGTGCAATTGTAGTCACCCCTCCGGCCTTAAACTTGTAGCAAGGATTCCCCGAGGTGCACATAATAGCAAGATAGCTTGAGATCAAGTACAATTTAATTTGAGCGAATCTAACGTGTGGATGCTTCTGCGATGTCATATCTAAATTACCTTGTGTTACTTAGTTTGTTATTTCTTAATATTAACTTGTTAGCTGATTTATGTAGGATTTGCATTGTATCGGCTGAATAAGTATTTCTAAAAATTATTTGAGTTCAAGTGCTGGATATGGTAAAATGAAAAATGTTTTACTCACCAAAAAAATGAAAAATGTTTTAATAAATTTTTTTCTTCATATATGTTGTATATTCTAGTGTTTTAATGGTGATCTTTGCAAGTTGTATTGAGTAGTATATTATTTATTATTTTGAAAAGCACGATGTTGAAGGTGATAATTTAATGTAAAGCTGAAATACAAGTGTATTAATTAATGATTTATCTATTAAATTTTGTCATTAAATATCCCTCTACCCTTGTCTTGCTTTTCGGATTCTGTTATGTCTTTTTGTCGTATGCCCCCTTATTTTGTAACTGCTGAACATAGACCAAAATATTTACATACTGAGAAAACTAAAAACATCACGTAATTGATTTGTTATTCCCTCAATTTGGTTCGTGAATTAACCATCAATTTGGAAATAAATGACATGAGTCATGTTTATATGATCCCCTCATCAGTCTACCCGCTTTATATGATTGGTTTTATATAATTAAAGTGTTTGGTTTTAATTACATCAAGATATGTGTATTTTTTATATATTATATATGATATAAGAATTTTTTGTTAATGTTATTAACACATCAAAAATCTGTCTTTGATTTGATGGGATAGAAACATTAGGTGTATGAAGTTAAATATATAGGTCTTATCTCCTCTCAAATAATAAATTGCTCGTTGATTGAGCTACAAAGTTGATAATTGGGTTGCTAATCAGAAAGTTAGGACGATAAGTTGATAATTGGGTGGCTAATCATAAAGTTAGGCAGGAAATTAGAGAAATTTGACATGTTATGCGCTGATCTCTCAAAATTGCGCCGAGAGAAAAGCGTCTGAAATTAGGCTTTTATAAATGTCGGTACGTTGACTGAAAGAATCAGAAAGTGCTTGTCGGAGTCTCTTTGTACAGGAGAGGCCAAAAAAGGGTGTGCATATGATCCTTTGTAGTGTATGTAATTGGAGATCAGATCAGACATTGAATGTTAAATTTGAAATTTAAATTGCAGATTGAAGAGAAATAATGGAACACGACAGAGTCAAACTCTACTAAGAAGCTAGTGGGTTGCTTGGTTGGGATTAGGATAAGGTGCTGCTATCTCCATCTTTGGTCGCTGATGGGACCAGTTGGGTGCCTCCTCGTCTCTTTTCCCAAGTGGAGTACCAGCTTCCCAACTTTGCGCTCATCAAGAAGATAGCCCTGCTGCAATTTGTTTAGAAAGGACCATCCTTAAAAAAAAAATGAAATAACGGTATAATTTAAAAAAAAAAGACTAGAAAGGACCATCTTTTTTTAAAAAAATGAAATAACAGTATAATTAAAAAAAAAGACTAACAAAGATTCGTCCAGTTAATAAAGAATTGGTCAATAATTCATAAGGTCGTAAAATTAAATCTCGTTGTTAATATGAGGATTTTATTGATGGATGTTTTGTAAGTATTTATATAAGCACTCTTTGAATATAAGGGTATGCCTTGGTCCTAGCTAGTCTTTAAGATCCAACTCGCCTAATTTATAAATATAAGACTTTATTTGCACAAGAGGACAACAAAAACATTTGATATCAGTTTGCAATCCTTCGAGATCTAAATGAAATTAATTCTGATTGTGAAAATACCTAATTGCCCCAAAGCATGTGGAACTAGCGAGTTTGAGTAAAATAACAAGTGAAATATTCTGTTCAACAAGCTGACGTTTGAAAAATAACAAGTATGTTTGTTACATTTTAAAAAGTGAGAGGTCAGAAAATAACAAGTTTAAGCAGTGGAACCAATAAATTTAAATGAAATGACAAGTGAGATGTTCTGTTTAACAAATAAATATTTAAAAAACAATAAGTACCCATTAAACTTTAACAAGCAATGGAACTAGCAAGTTTGAGTAATACCAAATTTATATCATAAGGATATTTTCATATTTTTTCCAACAATATTATTTACATATCAGACCCCACGGACTACGAAGTGATATAAGATTTCTTTGGTCCTTTTTCACAAATAAAGTCCCACAATGGTCTTTGGATGCAAATTTTCCTTCAAAAAAAAAATAAGAACTACCAAATATCCTAAATTTTGGATTAAGTATAGCTTTAAAAAAAGGTTCTATATTGTATGTGTAACAATATAGTTTTTTTCAACCCAAATGTTTCCAAAACCTATTAATTAAAATCAACTTTTTATTTTTTAAACATTTACCATGGTAAAAAGAATAAAAGTTGATTTACAAACCCTATCATAATAACAAAGAGATTACCATGATAGAAAAGTAGAGTTTATCATTTTCAAACCTTACAACAACAACAACAACAACAACAACAAGCCTTTATCCCACTAGGTGGGGTCAGCTACATGGATTGCAAGACGCCATTGTGCTCTATCATTTATTAAGCTTTTAGAAATATTATTAATTAAGAGATCACGTTCAACAACTTCTAAGAGTGTTCTCTTAGGCCTTCCTCTACCTCTCTTAATCGGACTCAAAGTTATATGTTCCACTCTTCTCACTGGTGCCTCCCTTGGTCTTCTTTGTACATGCCCAAACCATCTCAACCGATTTTCTAACATTTTTTCCTCAATAGGTGCCACCCTCACTTTTTCACGTATGTGCTCATTTCGAATTTTATCTTTACATGTATGTCCGCACATCCATCGTAACATTCTCATTTCTGCTACTCCAACTTTATGCTCTTGCTGTCCCGTTAGAGCCCAGCATTCACTACTATATAACATTGCCGGTCTGATAGCAGTACGATAAAACTTTCCTTTAAGTTTATTAGGCACCTTACGGTCACAAATAACTCCTTTAGCTTTTCTCCAATTAAACCACCCAGCTTGAATTCTATGTGAAATATCTCCACTGATTTCGCCATCATTTTGAATAATGGCTCCCAAATATCTAAACTTTTCCACTTAAGGTATAATTTGATCTCCCAATTTCACTTCCAAATTATTTTCGAATAGTCCTTTACCAAATTACAATATAAATATTCCGTCTTACTTCTACTCAGACGAAAACCTTTCGACTCCATGTCCTCCTCCATAACTCAAGTTTGCAATTAACCTCTTCTCTTGTCTCTGCTATAAGAACTATATCATCCGCGAAGAGCATACATTTCGGGATTTCCTCTTGAATATGTTCCGTCAAAACATTTAAAATCAAGTTGAACAAATAAGGACTCAGAGATGATCCCTGATGTAGTCCAATCTTTATAGGAAAATTCTTTGTTTGACCACTAAGCGTTCTTATACTAGTTTTTACCCCCTCATACATATCTTGTATGGCTTTAATATAAGCAATCCGTACTCCCTTTTTTTCCAACGCTTTCCAAAGCACTTCTCTTGGTATACGGTCATAAGCTTTTTCCAAATCAATAAAAACCATGTGTAGATCTTTATCTTCACAACGATACTTTTCCATTATCCCCTTAGTAGATAAATCGCCTCTGTAGTTGATCTACCTGGTATAAAACCAAATTGATTCTCAGAAATACTTGTCTCCAATCTCAACCTGTGCTCAATTACTTTCTCCCACAATTTCATTATGTGGCTCATGAGTTTAATCCCTCTATAGTTAGTACAATTCTGAATATCTCCTTATTTTTATAAATAGGAATTAATGTACTTCTCCTCCACTCATCAGGCATTTTCTTGGACTGTAAA